GGTGAAGTCACCCAGCCAGAGCCCCAGTGGCTCTCTCCAGATGTCTGCGTGGCCTGGCTCAGCTCCATCCCTGCCGCAGGCTCACAGTGTCTTTGGGTTTTGGATTGGTCACATCTCACCAAGACAAGGAAATGGACTGGACTGAATCCTTCAGGCAGCTGCATCGTCCCTGATGGGGCCTGTTTGGAGGTTAGAGTGGAGGGATAGGATACTTACGGAGACTTCAACTTATGGAGGGTCTGGGAGTGACCAGGCCAGTGAGGGCAGGGAAAGAGGCCTCCCATTGGGTCCCCACATGGACAGCAGCATTCAGATGGCAGGCCAGCATCCACCTAGGGTTTCAGAGCCTCCTTCTGCAGCCCCCAGAGCTCCTGGCTGCCGTCCTGGCTGCCACTGCTGCTGGTACTTCCCTTCACAGGAGGGCTCAAGGATGTGGGGCGGGGAGAGGAACAGGGACCAGCAGCTTCTCTGCTAAATAGTCCAGATCTTATTTTGGGTCCACAGTGGTTGGTGGTGGCTCGCAGGTAGTAGGCAAACAGTGATGGATGAATGGGTGCAAGGATGGAAAGAGTCGTCAGTGCATGAATTGTGAACCTCTGCTCCAACCAGAAGATAAAAGGCAGTGTCTGTGCATCAGCTGGTGGGACTTCCTTTTAAAATAAGGTCAGTGGTGTCAGCCACCGAAGGGGGGGTGGCAGCAGCACAAAGGGAAAGTTTTCCGGGATCTTTTTCCTGCTGTGTATTCCTGGAGAGCTGAAGAGCACATCAGGTCGGAATCTCTCTTGTGCTGTCACAACGTCCGTCTTTCTGTTGGCCCATCTGTCTTTGCATCCTTCAGACCAGGTGCTGTATTTGAGAGGGCGAGCCGGCCATGGCTTCGGCCCTTAAGGAGATAAGGTGTTAAGGTTAGGATCTGAGCTGTCTGAGGGATGGACAAAGTGCTGATTGCCTACAAAAAGGCTGGATGGAATGTGTGTGTTGGGGGGGCTTAGGTCAGGTTCTCAGAAAGACTTGAGGCAGATTTATTTGCAGGAGTTTCAGTAGGGTGTGTGCTCCTGGGAGCAACCCCTGGGGAAGAAAGGAAGCAACATTGCAATGCGGCCACCAAGGAGGCCTCGGCCGCTCCGTGGGGAGCTCTGAGCTGGGAGGGGCCTTCAGAATTGTTTGATCTGAAACAAGGGGATTGGTGGGCCTTTGATCCCCTCTCACCTTAGTCATAAGATGTGCACCCTGCACCCCTACCCTAGGCATAGCCTTGGGCATGGCAGCTCTCTTTGGCTAAGGGCAGTGCCCTGAGAGGGACTCAGCTATGAGCCTCTGCAGCTGGAGAGATTTGGGTAGTGCACTACAGCACCCACTCTAGAGAATCTGGGGAAGAACTCTTTGCAGGGAAGAAGAGCAATCTTGGTAGGCTGCATGGTGGAGGAGACATTTTAGTTGAGACTTGATGCGTGAACAAGGTTGTGATATCCAGGGATGGGGAGCAGGAGGCAGTGAGCGTGAGTGAACAATACGGGAAAGGCGTATTCAGAGATCGGCAAGGCAAGTCAACTGGGCCTGAAGTGAAGCCAGTGGGATGTCAGTCTGGATGCAGTCGGGGACCCTGGAGCACTTTGCCAGGGGGGAAGTGGACTTCGGAATTGATTCTGTGTGCCACGTTGGAAAGGAGCCAGCCAGGGATTTTCGCTGTTGAGTGACCTCTGGTGAAAGTTGGGCTCCAGGGTGACTGGTCCACTAGCTGTGAGTGGATGGATTTCAAGAGGCAGGCAGACTGGCTATGGAGTGACATGGAGAGGAGGAGAGGAACGTGATGGAGGGGCATCTCCAGACCCTGGGAACCAATTAGATATGAGGGATGGGACATAGGGTGGAGCTGGTGATGGTGAGTGAGCCCTGTCACTGGGTGTCCAGGGACCGCCAGGGAACCCAGGGAACCCAGGAGGAGAGGGTGGAGAGGGGAACCCAGTCTCGACTCTGTGGATGTGAAGGCAACAGTGCGGCCTCTAGGCAGGCCTGATGCAATGGGCAGGAGAGAAGAGAAGCCTCCCTAGGAAGAAGCCTGCGGCTGGATGGTGCCTCTGCCTCCTGGGGATGCCCGCCTCTCCTGGGGATGCCTGCCTCTCCTGGGGATGCCCGCTTTGCTGCTTTTGCTCATCTAAGCTCCACCGGGCTTATCTCTGTTTTATTTAAGGCTGGGATAGCACATACCATGTGCCCAATGTGATCCTAAGTGCTTTGCACAGGTGAACCCAATTAATGCTCTTTCCCACCCTGCTTAGGTACCATTTTCATCCCCATTTTATAGTTGAGGAAAACAAAATACAGAGTTCAGGTGATTCCAGAGGTCACTCAGCTTATGAATGGCTGATGACGTGGGCCCTAAGCAGGGCAGTGGTCTTTGAAGTAAGTTCTCGAAGGCTTCCTGCTCTTGCCAGCCAGTGTGTCCCTGGGGGAAGCTCCTGAACCCTCTGGCGGCCTCTCTCCCTGTCACTCCTCATAAAAGACCCTACTACTCTCTTGTTTATGTTCACACCCTCTCTGCTTTCCAGATCACCCTCAGTTCTGTTTTCTGTCCCTTGAGACATGAAGGGACCATATTACCCCCTGTTACGCCTGCCCCTGGAGCCCAGGTTCACGAAACGCAAACCATGAGCCTTAAGACTACCCATCACAGCTAGAAAGCGGGAATATTGGGGCCTAAGAGACCAAGTAGCTGAACCTCTTTGTTTTGGATGAAGCATCAGAGGACCAGAGGGATGGTGTGATCTGCCTAGGGCTGCACGGTCGTGTAGGAGCGAAGTTGAGTCAAGAACCCAGTTTTGTTTTTATTGTTTGAAACAATTGAATTTTCAGTAATAGGATTTTTAACTAATGTTATAGCCTCATGTCAGACTAACTTTAAAAATGACTTAGCGCTGGAGGAATGTATGTGGGCCTTTGGTATTAATACAGTATCTCCCTTGGGTGGATACCTTATTGAAATCATTTTACATAGGAGGAAACTGAGGCATGGAGAGTAAGTAGCTTGGCCAAGGATAATGGTGGTGAGAGGCAGAACTGGATTCAAACCCAGGCAGTCTGGCTCTAGAATCACCGCACTAAACAGAGCCTAACCACTTTGCTATACCGCCTCCTTTAATGATTTTGGAAAGATTTTTAAATTTATTTTTATTTTTACTTTATTTATTTTTTATTGGGATGGAGTCTGTCTCTGTCGCCCAGGCTGGAGTGCAGTGGTGCAGTCTCAGCTCCCTGCAACCTCTACCTCCTGGGACCAAGCGATTCTCGTGCCCCAGCCTCCTGAGTAGCTGGGATTACAGGCACGTGCATCACGCCCAGCTAATTTTTGTATTTTTAGTAGAGATGAGGTTTCACCGTGTTGGCCAGGCTGGTCTCGAACTCCTGACCTCTAGTGATCCGCCTGCCTTGGCCTTCCAAAGTGCTGAGATTATAGGCATGAGCTGCTGTGGCCAGTCTATTTTTATTTTTTGAGACAGGATCTTGCTGTGTCACCCAGGCTGGAGTGTAATGGTACAATCATGGCTTATTGCAGCCTCGACTTCCCGGGCTCCAGTAATCCTCCCAGCTCAGCCTCCCAAGTAGCTGGGACCACAGGCACATGCTACCACACCTGGCTAATTTGTGTATTTTTGGTAGAGATAGGGTTTCACCATGTTTCCCAGACTGGTCTGAAACTCCTGAGCTTAAGCAATTCACCCACCTCAGCCTCCCAAAGTATTGAGATTATGGGCGTGAGCCACTGCGCCTGGACAGATTTTGGAATGATATTCACAAAAATTGATACGTGAAAAGAATCTACAGTTTGGTTTTGTCTTATTTTAAAGAGGAACATATGCTTAGAAAACCAGTCAACATATGGATACCAAAATGTTGATGGTGATGACCTCTGAATGGTGGGAGGATGGGTGATATTTATTTTTGTGTGTTTTCTTGCATTGTCAAATGTATATAGTGAGAAAGTATTATTTTTATCACTAGATAACTTCATAAGAAGTTTCTGTGCACGGCAGTGAAACGGGTAAAGTGGTGTTTGGGGGACAATACTGTAGTTGCAGTATTAGTTCTCTCTCTTTCTCTTTCTTTCTCTCTTTCTCTCTTCCTCGTCCTCTTCCTCCTCCTCCTCCTCCTCCTCCTCCTTCGTCTTCCTCCTTCCTCCTCCTCCTTCGTCTTCCTCCTTCCTCCTCCTTCCTCCTCGTTCCTCCTCGTTCCTCCTTCTCTCTCTCTCTCTCTCTCTCTCGCTCTCTCTCTGTCTCTCTCTGTCTCTCTCTGTCTCTCACTCTCATCTCACTCTCCTCTCACTCTCGTCTCACTCTCGTCTCCCAGGCTGGAGTGCAGTGGCACAATCTCAGCTCACTGCAACCTCTGCCTCCCAGGTTCAAGGGTTCTCCTGCCCCAGCCTCCCAAGTAGCTGGGACCACAGGCACGCACCACCATGCCTGGCTAATTTTTGTATTTTTAATAGAGACGGGGTTTCACCATGTTGGCCAGGCTGGTCTCGAACTCCTGACCTCAAGTGATCTGCCCACCTAAGGCCTCCCAAAGTGCTGGGATTACAGCTGTGAGCCTCCGTGCCCGGCCAGTTTTCTTTCTGATCAGAGCCTGTAGCAGGGCATTGGAAGAGGGAGAGGTGACCAGGCAAATTCAGCAGTTACAGCTCAAATGAGACTTAGAACTGCGAAATCAGGAAGAAACTTGGAAGTCACCCCAGGTAGCAGAGGGCCCCTGTCTCTTTACAGACTCTTGAGCCAGTGCTCTTTCGTCTGTGCTTTGGAGTTTCAGGTAACAGTGGACATTCAGGGAGAAATACCTAGTTGGCAACTTCAGGGTTCCAGGAGAAGAGTCTAGAGCTTGGAGACAGAGTGGGGGTGAATGAAGAGGCAGGTTGGGGCAGAGGATGTTTCAGAGGATCTTGACCTCTCAACAGGAAGTCCAGCTCCTTCTGGCCCCAGCCTCATCGAGAAGGAACCCCAGCAAAAAGCAGCTCTGGTCATGGGATGGTGGTGGGCGGCAAGGAGCAGGAAGGGAGGTGGATGGATATGGGAGCAGAAAGCAGGGTCCTGTCTGGCCAGAGTTGGGGAGGAGGGCGATTGACTATCTCTATTTTCTCCAGCCCTGACCATCTCCATCTGCTCTGTGAAACTCAGGTTCTGACCTGTGGCATTCTCAAAGTGATTTTCTTTGTTCTTCTTTCACCAGAGACCACCTGGGAACGTCCCAGCAGTTCTCCTGGGATTCCAGCCAGCCCTGGCTCTCACAGGAGCTCTCTGCCTCCAACAGGTAATGTCCGCTCTCTGCTTTGGGGCAAGTGGGAGGGCCTGACCCCACCTTCAGTGGAGAGGCTGAGATTATGGGTCCTGGGTCTTAAACCTGTCTGATGTAGCAAACCCAGGGAGGGGTCGGGCCTGGGGGGTGGGGGGTCCATAAGGCCTGCTGCCAAGCAGGTTGGAGTCTCCCTGGCAGTGCCAGCAGCAGCTGTGGTGGCCTCCTGCACACTCCTCATCAGGCGCTTAGCAGGAGGAGATGGCTGGGGAAGGTGAGGTATCAGAGTTCTTTCCTGTCTGTCAGGAGCAGGAAGACCTGAAGTGTGGACAGAACTGCTCTGTGTGGGTCTTGTGGACATCATGGAGTACAAGCTAAAAGGAGGCAGATGTTTACAAGGCAGCTTTCAAATAAAACACCTGAAACAGTGTGAGGGAGATCTTGTGAGGGTGTGAGTTCCCCGTCTGCAAAGGTAATCAAGCAGAGGCAGTCGAGATGGACATTCTTTTTTGTTTGTTTTTATTTTGAGACAGAGTCTCATTCTGTCACCCAGGCTGGAGTGCAGTGGTGCACCCTCAGCTCACTGCAACCTCTCCCTCCCGCGTTCAAGTGATTCTTGTTTCTCAGCCTCCCGAGTAGCTGGGATTACAGGTGCGCACCGTCACGCCTGGCTAATTTGTGTATTTCTAGTAGAGACGGGGTTTCGCCATGTTGACCGGGCTGGTCTTGAGCTCCTGGTCTCAAGTGATCCACCTGTTTTGGCCTCTCAAAGTGCTGGGATTAAAGGTGTGAGCCACCGCGCCCAGCCGAAATGGACATTCCTACTATAGGTGGAAGGTTTGTCCAGGGGACTCTTGGGAGACACCTAGGTCTGAGATTCTGGAAGGCAGGTTATGGGACCCATCAGCAGGGAGAACAACATCTGTTTTCATGTGGCTTTTGAAAATGTCACCTCCTCCAAGAAGCCTTCCCTGATCACTCAATTTAGAGCCCTCACCCAGTCACTTTAGATCACAGCCGCCTGCTGTTTTAACATCCCCGGCATCCTGTTCCTAGTTGATCTTCACTCTCCCGTGCTAGACTGTAAGCTCCCTGAGGGCGGGGACTTGTCTGTTTCTTTTGTGGTATCTTCAGTCCCCAGAGCCTGGCTTCCACGTTGAGCTAATTTACCTGTGTCTCCACCATCCTATGGTGTGTGAAGCACACTTGTTGGTTTTCGACTTCAGAAGTCAATCTGGCAGCAGAGCATGAAAATCAAGGTTGTGGTTGGGGCTGGGAATTTAATCTTTAATGCCTTGAGCGTGACAGTCTCAGCTTCTGTGGAAGGGAGGTGAGGGCCTGCGTAAAGTTCTCAGAAGAAAAAGTAATCCCTGGTCTGAATAGTTTACCTGAAGCAGCACAGGGAACCACAGGAAGGACCAGAGGTAATCACAGGACTCTGGAATACTGGATCGGAAGAGGGAGGCGGGACGCAATGCGATTGGCCAGATCCTCACCTTTCAGAGCAGGGAGTCTTTGGGTATTGTCTGCCATTGAGACCTGAAGACGTGAGAGAGCACATTCAAAGCGTATTGCTTAGGCATATGACAGCTGCCAACAGAAGAGCTCAAAACTGGAAATGATGGGAAAATATTACCTCTAGAAAATCAGCTGAGGTGTGGGAGAGGTGATATGAACATGGGTGTTTTCTATCAAAAATTATTTTAGGTTTTCAAAAGCATTTTCTTTATATTTACATTATTACTTAAATTTTTAAAATAATTAAGAAAGGAACCCCCTTGTGGGGAGGGACATGGGGCAGCTATGATGGATTTCCTAGGGAGACAGTGAGTGCTGCCGTCTCAGACCAAGTCCCCAGAAATGAGCCTGTTCATGCTGTATACCTACCATGTGACAGCAGGCAGTTCTGAGTCCACTGGCTTCTCTTTCACTGTTTTTTTTTTTTTTTTTTTTTTGAGACAGAGTCTCACTCTGTCGCCCAGGCTAGAGTACAGTGGCGCGATCTCGGCTCACTGCAAGCTCCGCCTCCCAGGTTCGCGCCATTCTCCTGCCTCAGCCTCCCGAGTAGCTGGGACTACAGGCACCACCACCACGCCCGGCTAATTTTTTTTTGTATTTTTAGTAGAGACGGAGTTTCACCGTGTTAGCCAGGATGGTCTCGATCTCCTGACCTCGTGATCCGCCTGCCTCGGCCTCCCAAAGTGCAGGGATTACAGGCGTGAGCCATCGCGCCTGGCCTCTTTCACTGTTGTTCTTGTGTGTGTGTGTGTGTGTTTTCAACAATCAAAATGCCAGTGAATGACGCAAGGTGCGTCCTCTTTTTCCCGGCTGGCTCCAGGCCAGCCAGACACCAAAAGGAAACCCAGCTGTCTTTTCCAGCCAGAGTGGTCTGTGAAGGAAGACGGGACAGGGACGCCGGCAGAGGGAGGCTTGGACGTGTAGAGATGGCGGGTGTGACTCACAGCCTGCCCCGTTGGTGGGCTGGTCGAGATTTGCCCTTCGAGTGATGGGGTCACTTCTCCAAAGCCCGCTTTCCTGGCACCCCTCCACAGGGAGCATCTTGTCCGCTCTGCTGTTGATGGGGGCTGTCCTGCAGAAGGGGGGCTCACAGGAGCTGCCTCCGGTCCCTGGCTTAGAGGCCTGGGTTTAACAGGCTCCCTTCTTTACCCTACAAGCATAGCAAGAGCCTCTCTCCATCCAGCACTGCACTGTGGGCTGGGCCCCTAAAGGGGGCTGAGAAAGGTGGGGAGATGGATGGAGAAGGTCAGATATAGAGACGAGAATGGGCAGCATGGCCAAGGCTAGACCGAGTGTGTTGACAACGTTCCCCCTCTGCCCCACCCCCAGGGTGCTGAGGTAGTATCTCCTAAGGTGGAATCCTTGGGATCCCAGATCTACCCGTGCCCCATGAATGGAGGATGAAGACGGACAGGCACATGAGCATTCTGAAGACTGCAGGAAGCCCTGAAATGAAGAAACCTATTTAACTCAAGTGCTTTCAGTGCTTTGTTTGTTTGCAACATACCACATATGTCTTAAGCCTTCCTCCCTCTATTGGGTGATTTTGCCTACCAGGGGACGTTCGGCAATGTCTGGAGATATTTTTAACTGTCAGCACTGCAGGGAGGTGCTACAGGCGTTTAGTGGGTAGAGGCCAGGGATGCTGCTGAACATCCCACAGTGCACAGGAAAGTCTTCACCACAGCGAATCACCCAGCCCTAAATGTTTACTAGTGCCGAGGTGGAGAAGCTCTGTTGTAGAGTGACCCAGAGCATCAGTTCAGCGCTGCTCAAGGGTTCCCGGACCACGGCCCATTGAAGCAAGCAGCAGTAGCTCCCTACATCAAAGAATCCTGTGTCATTGATTCTAAGGCATACGTTTTCCCCTGACATATTAATATCTTGGAAGTCAGATGCATCTTACAATCAATAGTATATACTGGTTTATTACAGACATGGTCTTGCTCTGTTACTCAGGCTGGAATACAGTATCATGATCATAGCTCACTGCAGCCTCCTCCTCCAGGGCTCAAGCAGTCCTCCTGTTTCAGCCTCCCAAGTAGCTGGAACGACAGGCATGTGCCACCACACCCAGCTAATTTTCTTATTTTAGTATTTTTTTTTTTATAGAGACAGTGTTTTGCCATATTGCTCAGACTGGTTTTGAACTCCTCGGCTCAAGTGTTCTCCCAGAATTACCCAGATTACAGACATGAGCCACTGCTGGCCTCAATCACTGGCATCCTAGATTTGTGAAATTACAATTTGTTAAACTGGGGCCTTGAGCATGTTTCTCCTTGCCAGGCCTCGTTTGCCCGATTCATAAACTTGAGGGCCTGGAGGGAGATCAAACGAGGCCCCACCCATCCATGCATGCTTTTGGATTCTTTTGTTTGTCTGAGGTAGGGTCTTGCTCTGTTGCCCAGGCTGGAGTGCAGTGGTGTGATCTTGGCTCACTGCAGTCTTGACCTCCTGGGCTCAAGTGATCATCCTACCTCAGCCTCCCGATTAGCTGGGACTATAGGCACATGCCACCTTGCCCAGCTAATTTTTAAAGGATTCTTCATAGAGACAAGGTCTCACTATATTGCCCAGGCTGGTTTCAAACTCCCAGACTCAAGTGATACTCCAGCCTCAGCCTCCGAAAGTGCTGGGGTTACAGGCATGAGCCACCATACCCAGCTGGCTTTACTTTTGTGTTGTAGTTTTGTGAACTTCTAGAGAGAGTTTGAAGGGCCACCTACGGACAGAGCTGGTTCATTCTTATTCGTGCAGGTTTGTTGGATGCTGCTAAGCACAGGCAGCCAGGTTGCCAGCTGGGAAGAAATTTCTAGAAACATGCCCAGAGTCCTCCCCCAAAACCCCCCCCCCACCCAACCTCCGTACAAACTAGACTCCAGTCTTTGAATGTTGGGTGCTACTTAGGATCAGCCCTGGGCTGGGGACTTTGCTTGCATTCCATCCTTTAATATCACCAGAGTTCTGGGAGCTGTGTTTATTCAGTAGCTTTGCTAGAGGTGTTTAATGCCAGGCTTTCTGGGTGAGACCCGCCTGAGTAAGAAGTAAAGTTTAAACCAAAACAGAACACCTAAGACGCCATTCAGTAACTGCTGCAAATATTAAAAATCCTCTTTGGGCTGGACTTAACGTGCAGTGTGGAAATACTGATTTGTAGAGAGGAATAGTAACAGGCAAAGGGAAAGAAAATGAGTGAAAAGGGAGATGCTGGGAGTGTTCATGTATGAGTCACTGGGTAGAATGAAGACGGTACAGGGCAGCGTTGTCCAATAGAACCCTCTGTGACAGTATAAGCATTCTTTCTCTACGCCTTCCAATATGGTAGCCACTAGCCACGTGTGGCTATTGAGTACCTGAAATGTGATTGGTATGCGCAAGGAGCTGAATTTTTCATGTACTTTAATAACTTTTTAAAATTTGGGGAACAGTTTTTAAAGCTATAAAGCTATAAAGACAGTAAGTTCCCTTGCCTTCTTGACTTAGTTTCCCCAGTTGACATC